TCCTCCTTTTCCCATCCCCCTCCCACTCTCTTTCATCATCCATCCCCCTCACATCATTCTCTCCCATTCCTCCCGCCAGCCACCCTACTGCCCCTTCCCAAGCCTCTCTCATGGGAAGAAAGCCTCCCTTCCACCCCATCCCCTTCCTATCCATGCTAACCCCATTGTCTTTCCCATCAATATAGCTTTCTCATCTCTTATCCCACACGTCAACACATCCACGTAACTCATTTTTATCTCAGGATTAACAAATTAACTAGAAACGCCTTTGTTATCACAGGATTATCAAAGTACCGAGAAAATCTTACTCGTTTGTTTTACCACAGAATGAACAATGTCCTCCCCCCTCCCCCACACACACTTGCTTTCTTAGTTCTTGCTTGTGGTAGTCCAGCAGCTTTCTCTCACTTCTCATGTAGCTCACAGCGTAAGCAAGATCATCCCTCCTCAATAATATTTACATTAGATCAAATATTATATGACATGAGAGACACGTAAAATAATATCCATCTCTCTGGATCTTAAGAAAGGTCTATCTCTTACGTATGGTTAGAGTTATTAATGAAAACACACTGGGTACACCTGGTCATATAGTTAATTATCAAAAGGTAATACCAAGACTGTTTGTAGCTCGAGAGAACACTATCAGAGGCCTGTATAATGAGAACTCTCAGGTAGAACTAGAAGGTAAAGTAAGAGTTATAGTTGTAGTGTGTGTAAGGTGGGGACAGTTGGTAGCGTAGTCGAATAGTTATTTGACTTGGTATTATATGTTCTTTGGGGAGATCTTCTAAACAACAATTCTAAGTACAGCTGTTTATTAGTCAATTCAATGGCATGGACACATTGATAGATCATTATAGTGACGTTACTCGACAGTGACTCCCGGACACAAACAAGACATGGATATACTTCCCACCATAAGTAACTCACCCTATGGATCACTCTGACAATGACTCCGCGTGACCTGAGGGAGGCCCAGCAGCTGGGGACTCTGACTGCAGGGCCTGGTAGTGCTGAAGAGAGTGGTGCCGGCGGGTGCTGGACTCTGTCTCCTGTGGGAGACTCTGCCAGCTGGGAACTTGGTGATGGGAAGGGAAGGGAAGTTCCCCCTCTCGCCCACGGCTTGTAGCTGAGTCGACTCCGTCTGGCTCTGAGTTCTGTCTGACTCTGTCTCACTTCCGAAATGAGCTGTAGGTCCCTTTTAATGGAGGTCTCAGGCCGGCTGGTGTCGTCTCCTAATTATCACTAATCTGGGTGTGTCTGGCCAGGTGTGCTTGGTCAGGTGTCGGTGTACTGGCTGGAGGGCAATTAGAATAACAAGATCATGTCGCCTGTTCTCTCACCATACGGTGGCGAGACCTCCTTTTCCCATCGTGACCATGACCTATGATGGGTCAGGTTTTAATCTCACATTAATTAGGTAAGTCAACTTACGTGGGTGTACACCTGCTTATTTAGTTACTGATGTGTTGTTTTTCTCTGAGCTGAATGCTTTGGTCTGATATACAAGCATTACACCTGGGGATGTGCCAATCAGTTATTCCGATGGAGAAATTGGCATTACTGCTCTCTCCCTCCCTCCGGCTCTCTCTCCCTCTCGTCCATGAGCCCTTTCTTCAACAAAGGATAGATCATATATGTTTCCCGGAAGCTATATGGAGAGACCGGGACCCATTTACTGATATTAGCCGCTTCAGTCTCACATGCAGGACACCGCTAAGAGACGCGCACACAGGCCTGAAGGATCAGCCGCCAGATTGTAGCAGGAAGGGGGCTCACTGCTGCTGCCCGCCCGACGCTGTGTTGTGACTGAGGATTACTAATTATCAAGTATTGTTGAGAGGGACTCTGTTGTGTATGATGTGTACCTGTGTGCTGAATATTGCAGACTTAAATGCTATATACATCAATGTTGAATGTAAAGGTTCCTTAAGCACGTATATTCAATCTATGTTGTTATGTTGTACTACTCCTTAACAACTTGCGTCTTTAAGCACGTATCCCTTTTATGTTGTTGTTATGCCTTACTACGCCTCAAAAACTAATGCCTTTAAACACGTATCTCAGGTGATGGTATTATGTATTACTGCGCCTCAACTACTAGGGGGAGAGAGAGTCCGAATGAGAGAGACAGAGTGAAAAGAAGAGAGTTATAATGAGAGAGAGAGATAGCAAGAGGATAGGGGGTAAGAGTGAAAGAGAGTGACAGTACGAGTGAGAGAGAAAGCAAGAGTAAGAGAGAGCGCTTGATACTACACAGAAAGAGACAAGTATATCCTCAAGAACACTCAAGGAGGAGGTTGGAGGAGGACTCGAAGAGAGGCTTTACTTGTGTTCGTGGTCGAGGATGACGGTCGCATGCCGGAAAATTAACGACTTGGAGAATACTTTAATAAAACTAAATTACCTTAACCTAACTTTACCTAACCTAACCTAACCCCTACCACACACACACACACACACACACACACACACACACACACACACACACAACATTAATGAGTCCTACTTTAATCATAACTTCGTGCCTCAAGTCTCAGGTGACCACTATAACACCTGCAGGAACTAACAAACTTGTTCCCACCTTACCAGAGAAGCTGTCACCCACCCACCAACTCGGAGAAGAAGATTGACATTAAAAGTTAAATAATCCGAGTATTTTTATTCGTGGGGGAAAAACGTTCGAGGATGTGCTGTGTGTTCGACTTTCATGAGCTGAGAAACGAGTTGTGTTTTTGGTTTATATTATTTTACGTTATATATACTTCAGATTAACACCACATTTACACAAAATTTACACTACAGTTACACAAAATTTACAAGAGTTATACCAAATTTACACTACATTTACACAAAATTTACAAGAGTTACACCAAATTTACATCACATTTACACCAAGGTCTTCACGTCTAACACAATAGGTTACACCCCCACACCTCCCTCTATCCACGTTACCACATCATCATTTTTTCAGGACCTTCGCCTCTTCTTACATAAACCAATTACTGGATCTTTATAAACTGTGGCTCTGGATACCTGTGTGTGTGTGTTACTGGATAATGGCGACCCTTAACTCTTGAGATTATTAACTCCTTGAGGATGATGACTTTATAACTCCTTGAGGATGATGACTTTATAACTCCTTGAGGATGATGACTTTATAACTCCTTGAGGATGATGACTTTATAACTCCTTGAGGATGATGACTTTATAACTCCTTGAGGATGATGACTTTATAACTACTTGAGGATGATGACTTTATAACTCCTTGAGGATGATGACTTTATAACTCCTTGAGGATGATGACTTTATAACTCCTTGAGGATGATGACTTTATAACTCCTTGAGGATGATGACTTTATAACTCCTTGAGGATGATGACTTTATAACTCCTTGAGGATGATGACTTCTCTAAATACTCAAGACTGTTAACTGTAGTAGACGTTAGTAAGTGTGTCTATGTGTGAGACCGGGACAGTCTAATGGTGAGTGGTGGAAGAACACTGCGTCTCTCCAGTCAGTATTCTCTAAAGACACCTCTTGATGACACTGCTTAGGTCGGGTCGGGTCGGGTCAGAGGTCGGGTAGGGTCAGGTCGGATGGGTTAGGGTTAGGTTGGGTCGGGTCGGTCGGTCGGGTCGGGTCGGGTCGGGTCGGGTCGGGTTGGGTTGTTGGGTTAGGTCGGGTCGGGGTCGGTCGGGTCGGGTCGGGTAGGTCGGGTTGGGTTGTTGGGTTGGTTAGGTCAGGTCAGGTCAGGTTAAGGTCGGGTGGGTTGCTGCTGGTTGGTTGGTTAAGGTTGGGATTGGTTGGGTTGGGTTGGGTTGGGTTGGGTTGGGTTGGGTTGGGTTTGGTTGGGTTGGGTTGGGTTTGGTTGGGTTAGGTTATGAGAAGCCAAGCACGAGAGTTATTATTAATCGTTGTTTTATGCAGAGGAATAATCCCTTTAGCACCTAGAAGAGAAGCCAAGCACGAGAGTTATTATTAATCGTTGTTTTATGCAGAGGAATAATCCCTTTAGCACCTAGAAGATTGAAGCCATGATCTTACCAGCTGAGGATTAAGTCGTGAACTTCTCGGGAGACGAAGAATCCTGATAACAATGTTGGCTGGATCATCTTAGTGTAGAAGGAAGCCGCCTCTTGTGGCCATCATCCGGTGTTGATATTCAGCGTCGAGATGAATTCCAGGAAGACTTCTTGTGGAAACCTTAAGACATCCTTCAAGTGGGTTTTAGGTAATGAACCATAATGAAAGATCCGCTAAATGAAAAACAACACTACATGATTTAATTACTGAGTCAAAAGAGGCGAATTTATGACCAACAGTGAATGATTTTTAAGCTGTGTGTAGAGGGGCGACCGTGAGAGGGGTGTATGACGTCAGTGCTTGTCTTATATTACATCATTACCTGGCCTATATTACGTCACTGCTTGTCTTAAATGACCTCACTAATTACAATACGTAACGTCAATACTTTCAAGGCGTTTCAATACATGGGTTCTGAGAAGAGCATAAGAGGGTGTAGAATCCCGTGAGTGGGTGTGTGTGTGTGTGTGTGTGTGTGTGTGTGTGTGTGTGTGTGTGTGTGTGTGTGATCTCATGACAGACAGCGGGCCAGGAATACATTATGAGAGAGAACAAGACACAGAGATTCCAGGAACCATTATACCTGCATCTCACAACAGATTAACTCCCTGATTACCTGGGAACTTATAATTATTTCCTTAACTACAAATTTATTCACTTTTTTATCTTCCCCTCTCTCTCTCTCTCTCTCTCTCTCTCTCTGATTTTGTATGTATGTATGTATGTATGTATGTATGTATGTATGTATGTATGTATGAAGTGTGAGTATACTTTCTCTAATGTTAATAAAGTGTATGTACTGTGTAGGTGTAATATCCATGTAGAGTGAAAACAAAAATTGGTTTCCGCATCCCCACACACAGAGCGCTGGTCGACAGGTGGATCAGGTATATATAAAGCGTGGACTCGGGGAGGTGAGCCAACACTCGCGGGTGATCAAGACAACAGACAAGAGGTGCTCCTTCCCTTCCTCCCTCGATCTAACCACAATACCCCACTACCAGTCACTCAGTTGGTGGTCTTCTCGTCGTGTTGATACTTACGCGTGCAGCCTGTCTGTTCCTCTGTCTACTGATTGTCTCAATACATCTAGCAGTGGGAGGAGGAAGTTGTGTTATCCATCTGAGAGGAAACTAACCGGACGTCAACTTTACATTAACATTGATATTTAAGTGTTGATAAACTTAATACATAAAAAACGTGAGTATTAATTATAACAAAATTAATGGAGTTAGGTTTATGTATTTCTAGAGACTTTTACCTGAAGTTATTAACGAGTGTTATCATTAAAACTCTCTAAAACAAACAAAAGAAAACGATGGTTCCGTCCTCCGCCAAGAGGAAGTTCCTTATACCTACTAAACAGAGGCCTTAAGTTGAAAGGGAAGTTAGGTAAGTAACGTGACGATTTAGTGTGGCACCCGGAAGACCTGACTACCCACAGCCCACCCCACCCACGCCTAGCGTAGCCTACCCCTGCACCCCACCCTAGCCCACCCCACCCAACGTCCCGCCCAGCCCAGCCCAGCCTACTCCACCCCACCCTAGCCTAGCTTGTCCTAGTCCCTACACCACCACCACCACCACCACGCCCCCAAGGCTATAATAAGATCGTGCTAGTGAAAGGCATCATCACAGACCCCCCAACATCACCTCTCTTCCGCTAGAGCCTTACTTGTCTCTTATTGACTCTCGAGGACGACCCTTCCCTCCTCCTCCTACTTCTCACCTTGAGAGACACGTGGCTTCATCACCCTACCGATTACGGGTAGCGACGGCCCTCACGCCCTCCCCTCCTCCTCCTCCTCCTCCTGTTAAATCATCAGCGGGCCTAGAGGTACCGACTTGCCCGCCACAGTGTAGTGTCAGCTGAGCCAGTGAGCGGACAAGTGGCCTGCACCCTTCACACTAAATAACAAAAGAGAATCGCCTTCCGCACTGAACTGTAAACACACAAACAAATATTTTTTTTTTTCAACTTGGACAAAAAAATCTAAGAAAAAGCAACGAAGACATTTATTTTTTATTTTATTTCGAGGAAATAAAAAAAAAAAACCTGGAAAATATCGTAAACATTCCACACAGTTGATGGTGTTTATTACAAGAAATTGTTGTATATCAGGACGAGTATCTGTGAGAAAACATAAACTAGAGTAACAGCAACAAGGTAAACATCGATATGGGTTGCTGCTGTACAAACACACACATGGCAGTGAGTATTACCTCCTTAAATCATGCACACTCACCTCGCACCCCTGTATACACACTGCTGTCCTGTCACTCACTCACTCAACAAACTTTTTCAGTCTTTTTCCTTGTTCCTTACACACACACACACACACACACACACACACACACACACACACACACACTATTCTCTATACACTGCATGGGTCGAAGGCTGTGCATGAGCATGTCTGACAAGTGGTGATAAGTAACCAACACAGGTCGGAACAAATTATTCGTACAACCTAATTTCTTAATCATCTCAGGTGAGGGAGAGTCAACAGGTGTTCCTCTGTTCACGGGTCACTCCTTCTGTTATCGTCTAACTCAGTGAACCGCGAGAAAACCACGCAACTTACTTGAATCAAACATAAACCTGCAGGAAACACAAATCTTAGGAGACAGTTGTGTGTGTGTGGGTGTGTGTGTAGTACTGACTTACTATATCTTCACCTGACTTACCATTTATTTGATGATCACTTTAAGAACAACGTTAACAATATATTAATTACTTTTATCATAAATTCATGGGTGTGGTGGCTGAGTGGCTAGAGCTCTCGTGTCCTGTTCTAATCGTCTTTTATTCGATGCTGAGGTACTCCTAATCCACCTAGTTATAAACGGGTAACCTTACTTTACAGTTTGGGAAGTGAATGTGGTCGAGTACAGTACCTGTGTTATAGCCGTAGTGTCCTTGAAGGCCAGCCTCATATATGGGACCCACTTTTATATCTCAAGTGACGTCTACATCTTCACTATTAAGTTACAATTGAATTTCAGGTTCTTTGATGACCATGCATTATTTGACAGTCGTGATGTGTTAAATATTGCTATATGACCGTATAAATGGTTCCTATATCCTCAATGTTATATGGAGCTAGGTAACATTTCGCATTGGTTGAGTTAAAGTGAGGTTATACTGCTCAGTTTTCAAGCCTCTCAGCTGATGTCATAAGCTCCTCCCTGGCCCCGCCCCATCGACTCAATACAAGGGGATTTCCCGCATTTCAGCTCTGCCACCGCCCCTCTCTCTCTCTCTCTCTCTCTCTCTCTATCTATCGCTACTCTCTCACGCTCTCCCAATTTCTCCCACGCTCTCCACTCCTTTCCCACTCACTTCCATTTTTTCCTAAGCTTTCCTGTATTTTCCCACGCTCTTGATTATTTTCCCACTCTCTGTAGGTTTCTCATATTCTTTCAAATAAATGATTATATTTTTCATCCTCTCTCTCTCTCTCTCTCTCTCTCTCTCTCTCTCTCTCTCTCACAAACACCCTCCTAAAAGTTTTCATAAGCACACTTACTACCTCTCACAATTACTCCCTCATACACTCCATAACACTCCCCGCCACTCCCTCAATCTCCCTCCTAGCTACTCTCCCAGTCACTCCCCTACATTCCCTCCTGCCACACCTACTCACTCCTAGCCACTCCCTCTCCCTCTCCCTTCTGTACATACGCCTAGCCACTCCATCACTCACCCTCCTGCCGCACACACTCCCAGCCAACCACCACTCCCTCACACTCCCTCCTCTCTCACTCATCCTCCTAACCACTCACCCAGCCATCTTCCCAGCCATTTCCAGCCACCCTCCCAGCCCTTTCCAGCCCCACAGGCCCAATAAAATACATCACCAGGGCACAGCAGCTGAGTGTGGCTGCCCCCTCCCTCCACGTGACGCTTAGAAATAATTTTCCCTGAAGTAATTTTAGGTGAAAATGAGTGGGATGATAGATAGGTTAGGTGGATAGGTGGTGGTGGTGGTGGAGGGTTAGTTGGTGGTGGTGGTGGTGGAGGGTTAGTTGGTGGTGGTGGTGGGGGCTTAGTTGGTGGTGGTGGTGGGGGCTTAGTTGGTGGTGGTGGTGGTGGGGGCTTAGTTGGTACAGTGGTGGGTTAGGTTAGGTTAGGCTAGGTTATGTTATGTGGGATTTTGTCGCTGAAACAAGTAAAGTCCATCACTAATACACGATCTTCATATGCATCTCTTGGTATATACACTACAAAGGTCGCCTGATAACTGATGTAATATTCAAGGTCCTGATTATTGGTATTCCTCTACTACACTACATTGATAAACATTATGTGTAAGACCTGACTCAACCTCGTAAGTACTGTACAATCGGTTACACTTCTACCTGGTACAAAAGATGATGTTTTTTGTGAGACGTGGCAACTCTGTGGAATGTTTATCAAGCATCATTAGTCTAACTACTATTGTGAGGTTCCTTAGGGCCAATGAGTGATATTTAATACAATGTAAACAAAAACATCTCACAAAACGCGACACCTACTGTACCAGGCGTAAATGCAAGCAACTGTACCTATCAGAAACCTCAAATTTGCCTGTGTATAAATGTCAACTTATTCATACTTAGGAATTAACGGAAGGCAAGAACTCATTAAGGTATTTATACGTTTATTTCCCTCCGAGATTCAGGAGAATATTATAAAAAGAAACATTCTTTGCCAGAGCCACAACTACACACACGAATATCTTACGCCATAACCCATAACAGACGAGTGGCAACATTGGTGAGTTTGACCAGCATCTCTTTGACCTTCAAGATAAAAGACTGACGAGATGAAGAGATGATAAGTCTTTCTTGTACATGTGCCAATCATAGTTCCTCTGTACTTTAAGGCTAAAAGGCTTATCGGAGTTCATATAATACGATGCTGAAGCTGTTTTAGAGGTGAAAGGCTTACAAAAGAAATCCATTCTGGTCCCGTGTAAAAGAATGAAGGCTTTTAATAACTGTTTAATAGCCATGTCTGAAGACCATTAAGACTGAAGTCCGTTGAAAGAGAGAGAGAAAGAGAGAGGAGAGAGAGAGAGAGAGAGAGAGAGAGAGGAGAGAGAGAGAGAGAGGAGAGAGAGAGAGAGGAGAGAGAGAGAGAGAAGCCGTTCTATCATCCAAACATCTCTAATTTAAAAACGACACTTCCAACTTCATTAGATACTTTCCTTGGTCACTTTCCTCTTAACTCAATAGACACTTTCTACTTATTAAACTTGTCACTTTACATCTAATAGCCTGCATACTTTCCACTTATATTAACCATACACTTTCAACTCCAATGGACACTTTCCATTTATACTATTGGACATTTTCCACTTAATCAGACATTTCTTAATCACTTGGATATTCCCGTGTAATCGAACCCTCAACTAAAGCTCCTCCCCCTGACCTTAAGCTCCTCCCCCTGACCTTAAGCTCCTCCCCCTGACCTTAAGCTCCTCCCCCTGACCTTAAGCTCCTCCCCCGACCTTAAGCTCCTCCCTCGGTTATGTTTTGTTGACTGGTCTTACACTTTTACAACGGGAGCTTAACCATCGCCCGTCAGCCAATCCCAGTCGAGGACCCTGAACCCATAAGAGCTTGAGAAACGACATATGATTGGTGGATATTATCTAGTACAGAGGATATTCTGAGGGAGGGAGGGAGGGAGGGGGAATAGTGAGAGGGAGGAAGATATAAGGGGAGAGGGGTAGAGGGAAGGAGAGAGGGGAAGAAGGACGGGTTCTATCAGAGAAAATTATTGCAGTTTTTGCTTGCATTTAACAATCATTTTTACCTCTAAGTAGATACTCTGTAAATTACCTTCTCGACAAAGATCATTTAATCTCTCCCTCGCCCCTGGCCCGTTCACCTAACACTGCGCCCTCAGGCTCACGCGTATTAAATACCTTATCATTTACGCAGCTCATTCAGGTTTCTTTGATTCGTGATTTATTTCTGTTTTAATAAATTGTATATAGTTTATTATATAGGAATTGTATAGGGATTGGTCGACCTATAGTTTATGGTGAAATATGATAGTGTCATTAAACCGACTAGATTTTGACACTATATCGAACTATTTTTTATTATTCCTTATCAAACTATGGTGCCATGGTAAGAAAATTATGGTGCCATGTGTAACCATATATTAGTACTATATCAAACTATATTTCCCAGTGTTATATCATAGAATATATAAAGAGACTATATCATAAAGCGTTATATTGAACTGCTCTTAATTATTAGACTCTTCCTTGTGGTAATGTGGCGGCCATAGTGGTGAGTTGCCCTGAGATGATGCTGACTTATACTATGACACTCAAGGGTGACTTACCAGCTCAACCTTGGCCTCATAACTAACACCCTCACCCTCGTCGTCCTCTCCTGCCGTGGACCCTGTCACCTTCTGTCACACTCTCTCACACCCTCGCATCCTGTCACACCCTTTCCTCACACCCTGTCACCCTCTTCCCTACTGCCACGCACCCTGCCACACCCTCCCTAACACCCTTTCACACCCTCCTTCGCACCCTGATGCTCTCTCACTAATTCTGTTTTTCCCCTGTCTCACTCTCTTGCCCTGATATCCTCATAGTCTCTCTCTCTCTCTCTCTCTCTCTCTGCGAACTCTACATGCCCAGTATCACCAAACAACCATACCACTACAGTCACACACTATCACCACCACACCACCATACCACCTAACTACCATCACCACACCACCATCACCACACCATCATCAACACCACACCATCATCAACACCACACCATCACCACCACTACACCCCCACACCACCACACCCCCACACACTTCTCGCGGGTCTTGTTAAACGTGCGTCAGTGACCATAATGTGTACAAAGGTTAATTATGTGTTGAGTCACCACGCCACAGCATCATTAATCAACAAACACTATACACCTTAACCTCCCGTGCTCTGTGTCGACTCTCTACCCGGGGTGTGGGATAACTAAACTAATCTTGATCTCACCTGAAGATTAGTTCAGTAGATTGCTTTACAATTATATTAACCACCCTAACCCAACCTAACTTAACTAATCTAGCTTAAAATACCCTAACCTAACCTAGGAAAGGAGCGTTCAAGTTGTGTTTAATATTGAAGTGATGGTCATTAAATATAGACTAATGGATCGTAACAGAGAGAACTGGTAATGAATATTGATAACAGAGGCAGCAGAGAGGGACGTGGTGAGGTGTGATGGGGTCAAAGAGAAATGGCAGCCGAGCATCATAACATAAGAGGTCGCTGGAGTAATACAAATGACGCAACAACAACCACCACCTGTTGCTCCTGCCAGGTGCTGGTAGACCTTTGATAACTACTGATACGATATCTTGTGGGGGGACGGGGTGTGTGTGTGTGTGTGTGTGTGTGTGTGTGTGTGTGTGTGTGTGTGTGTGTGTGTGTGTGAGGGAGGGTGTGTTAGGGTACGTGTATTCAGTATCAGTGGTGTATACTCAAGGCAAGTACGTCGGAGCATTTTCTTTTTTTCACGATTAAAGACACGTCACACTTACTCTTCAGCAGGTGTGTCATATAGAGTACCTGAGTGTGTGTCATATAGAGTACCTGAGTGTGTGTCATATACAGTACCTAAGTGTGTGTCATATACTGTACCTGAGTGTGTGTCATATACAGTACCTGAGTGTGTGTCATATACAGTACCTGAGTGTGTGTCATATACAGTACCTGAGTGTGTGTCATATACTGTACCTGAGTGTGAGTGTGTGTGTGTGTGTATCGGTGTCCCTGGTGCGCAGTGAGAGACCTGAGGAACACTACAATAAGTGGTTTCAACTGATAACTGTTGCGGTGTTGAAGCCTTGACTGTGAACGACCCGGTGGTCAGTGATCCCACAAGGTAAACAAGTGCTTTAAAGAGGACGATAAATAATGAGAGATAAAAGAGTAAAGGTTTAAGTCTAAAGGTGAGTGAAGGTGTGACAGTAACTGGGCAGCAGAGTGACACACACACCTACACCATCACCACCACACTACCACACCATCACCACCACACCCTTACACACCATCACCACCACACTACCACACCATCACCACCACACCCTTACACACCATCACCACCACACTACCACACCATCACCACCACACCCTTACACACTTCTCGCTACCAACTCACACATATACAGTTCTAACTACTCAGGTATATATAAAATCCATACACTAATACACACATAAACACAGATTAATACCTATTACCTTATACAGCTGGGTGAACTGGGGAGCCCTTAGCGGGAACCAGTGATCATGGACAAATATGAAGAGACTCACACAAATGTACACATAGATAGATATACACTTACACTAAAGTTACTGTTTACATAAATATACACAGACACACTTATATCCTGTCACTTGAACACCCTAAGTACCCACAGATGCAGACGAGCCCCCAAAACTAAGTATTTAAAGAAAAAAGAAAATCTGCTCTCGACAGTACACTCGTCAACAGCGCCACCACACTAGAGTACGGAGAACAAAAACCAGCCTAACCTTGTCACTTGGGGAACTCCCTGCCTCTGCTCTCTATGTATAAAGGTCACAAGAACTAGAGGGTTATAAGCTTATGTCTAATCCTAACCTCCTCCTCCCTCTCCTCCTCCTCCTCCTCCTCCTCACTTGTCAGTTTACTTGCTCTCGGAATGGTTGCTCACCTCTCGGACTTTCACCATTGGCAGTATCTGTCATGTAGTCCCCCAAAAAATTGTAGCGACGGAAAATCTAACGATAGTATATAGGGGGACTGAACGTATAAGCACCAGGGCCTAACTGGATCTGTGTCAAGTGTAGGTACTGGGAACATCGAGGCTCTTAATTGTGCCTCATTATTCACGAATGTTGTAGCAGCTTGTTCTCATGACCATCTGTGTCTATGATGCTTATATGTTTAACGTTACTGGGCGCTAATAAGCCTTGATTCCATATTTCAACTTTCTATTAATTGAAATGAAAACAACCTGTTATAATGTATTTAAAAACTATATATATATATATATATATATATATATATATATATATATATATATATATATATATATATATATATATATATATATATATATATATATATATATATATATATATATATATATATATATATATATATATATATATATATATATATATATATATATATATATATATATATATATATATATATATATATATATATATTTACAATATTCTTTATAATGTGTGGTAATGCGTAATATAAGCTTGAGATGTGTTAGAGACAATAACTGCGACATATAGCAAGGCCGGATTATTTTGTCATAGTTACTCCCTAAAAGTTTTCGTTTTCTGAGATTGACTAACTTATAACGTTTTCTTTCTTCACGACTGTATATGAAACCTCTTAACGTTAAAAATTTATGATCGCTATAGATAGATAGATAGATAGATAGACAGAAATAAAGACAGATAGACAGAAATATAGATAAATGGATAGATAGATAGATAGATATAGATAGATAGATTCTGGCTTATTAAGAGTAACACCCGTTTGACTAATCACCATCGTTCTCTCTACCTCTTCACCCTCACAGATGCACCGCACGATATGTTGTTTAGTGGTGGTGATGGTGCTGGCCCTGGGCGTGTTGGTGGAGGGCGCGCCATCCACCCAGAGAGACGGGGGCGTGGCAGCGTTCACCAGGAGCCTCTACGGGAACGGTCTTGAACGTAGGACGAACAACTTGTGCTCCGATGATGTGAGAACCAGTGGGCTTTGTTCTTGATAAATATGCGTGTGTGTGTGTGTGTGTGTTTATATATGGCTTCACCAACACCTCCTTCACCAACACTTGTCTCACCAACACCTAACACCTCCCATCATCTCCTCCCACAGGCCCACCAGCAGTACATGTGTGAGATGTGTGCCAAAGAGACCAAGTCCCTTCAGGTGTACACACTCTGCTGTAACGGTGCTGACGATGCCCAGACCTGGTGCCAGAGCTTCCTCGTGTACGGCATCAACAGCGTCTGAAGCCTCATCACTCAGAAACCTTCAGCAGGATTACTTGACAGACATACATCCACCAACCTACCCAGCCAGTCTGCCTCTTGAACCTCCTATCTACATCTTCAACTGAAACCTCTTCTAAATAATGTCTTAAGGCCAAGGTTTCCTCCTTCTCTCACAAAAAAGAATCCCTGAGTAAAACTTTCTTCTGTTTATGTCGACACCTGTTAAAAAACTCCTTTGATATACTAATACTTTTCCACATTAAACCCGAAACGTTAGGTAACACTAAGACAATAACTCTGAAATATTTGTTGGACTTAAACCAGTTTAAAAACAACATCTTCTAAAAACCCGTAATTTTCATATTAATCAAATTGGTCTTCACAGGAGTTGCAAAACACGAATTGAAATTTTGCAAATATTTCTTCTTCTTTTTCTTCAGTCTCACTCTTATGATGAAACCAAGAAACTAATACCTAACCAAACTCTTTCTTTACAATACTTGGCGATATTTTTCTCACCTATCAGAGCTGGTTCAACTTTTCATCGTGATATTTGTTAACTTTACACGACTGGCTAAGCGGATCATCATTGCTTAAGTTTCATTACTTCTCACGACAAATTTCCTTTCTTTTTTTGGTTTGGAACTTTTATTTAATGTTGTTTCGCGATTTTTGGAGGTTGAATGCAAAAGACATCTGAGTTTACCAGCGGCAGCAGAGAGACGAGGTGAGATAGAGTTCTCTCAGCTGCCTCAGACACATCTCAGGAGGTCCTTGTACTGTCACCTCAGCCTCTCCTATATATACAGAACTATACATGGGATTAATATGATAGATGGAGAGATAAAGTTTATGTCATCTCTGTTTAAGTTGTTTCGTTTCGTCTCATTTGTAATTTTTCTGTCTGAGTTGATATTAAGTTACATGGATAAGTTAGTGAGGTATTCTCCTTCATAAATCATCTTCAGAAAAAAACTTTTCCTGAGAGATGAGAAACGTGAGGATAGATAACATGGGTGAGAGACATAATAAATACACACACTCCCAAAAATATCTATACGGTGGTGATCGATAAATTTCAGAATGAACACTACGACTCCTGTTGTCTCTGTTGGGTTGTCAAAATCCCTCGTCCGTTGTGTCATCTTACACAAAATCGTAGATACTTTTTTGTAGCGATACAAAACGTTTCTTACTTAAGCATAGAAGCTGAGGGATAAATATGTATTAATAAATGTTATATATTACAAATAGTGACAATCAGTGAGTTAGTACGGTATAGCGCATCTGGGTGACGGGTTAAGGCGGTGCGTGACCTGTAGACTACGTTATCCAGAGGTGGACAAGAGAGACACCTGTACAGAGACAAATGGAGCGATGGTAGAGTAATTCATTACGACGAGATATGTTAAACGACGAGTTACAGTGTTTGTAATAATTAGTGAGTCTCCGATAAGCCGAAATCTGAATAAATTGTGACATGTTTTCGTCATTTCGACACCGCCGACTCCACCTTGTGACACACGCTGTAAGGTATAAATATGTTACGAGCTTAAGATTACTTTTACTTCATCAAGGCGGCTCGTGGATGGTTGTCCCCCTCGGCAGCTTATCCTCAACAAACAGCTTGCACCTTCAGCTGTTTCTTGAGGCTCTACTGCTAGTTGAACCACCAGGGGAAGACTCGTATTTGTTGAGGAGTCCCACAACGGATGTATCGTATCTACTGCTTTTGTTCTTTTATATTTTCCCGGTAAATCATTTCCTTTTGAAATTATTGTGTTTTTAGATTTAAGTTAAACTGATTATATTTTTGGACATGTGATACTGAAGGTTAATTTGGAATTAGTTTTACATATTGGCAAAAGTTGCTTAAAAGTGATGATTGAGCAACACTGGTGACGAGGGTCGGTACTCCTGCTAGGTGGTCTCCTGGAGCTGGGAACTGGATATATTTTTAGAGAGACTGTAGTCCCTATACCTGTGTGTGGCTCCACTCACCTGACTGATAATCATAATAAACCCTGTTTGTGTTCCCACGTATGGCAGAGATGTTTGTGTAGTGTTTTAAAATAGTTAAAAAAAACAATATAATTGTTACCCAAAATGTTTACTGCAAAGTATTTTTATTTATATATTTGTGTCGATAAACGGCATTGATCAGATAGCCAGGAGTCACAAGCATATGAAAGTGTTCCTAGAGGTACTAGGAGGAGCTGTGAGGTCAAAGGTTCGTGACCTGTGTGGCTGGTAGTTCCCCTCTGACCTCCAGAACCACGCCCACCTCACCCACAGTGTTGCTGATGGGCGTGTGTCTGTATAAACGCTAACACACGCCTATATTCCACGTATTCTTAGTAATCTCTGTAACAGTTATGTTTTTCCTTCATTTTTGCTCTAAGTTGATGTACAAATTAGATTTCTATACTTAACATATGTCCTTATAAAACTATTTATTTGAGTTTGTATTTATTGCGCCAGTTGGGCAGAGTCTAGGGCGCTGTATAATGCCGTGAATAAATACAGAAGCTGAATTTATATCATAGCATTTATTAATAAAAAATTATGTCGACCCAGAGGTGTTTGTTATGATCCAACCCGAATGAACAGAGAGTGAACACCGCGAGAGGTTGTGTTGGCTCAGTGAGGTTAAAAGATGAACCATGTGATTGAGTTTCCCTTTTATTAACTCGGGAACAAAAGTCTTAGGTAAAGGTACAATGACAGGTGCAACTACAGGTACAAATACAGATTCAAGTGTAAGTGCAGATACAAGTACAGGTGAAGAAACAAGTACAGGTACATATAGTGAACAGGTACAGGTGCAAGGACAAGGGCAGAGTCAAGGACAAGGACAGATACAGGTACAGAAATAAGAAAGTGATTCCACTGCTACAAACAACATCCCAGTATCAATGTGTTTGATCATATCACAATATATTCTACTGTGTACATAGCCACAACAAACTCCGTATACAGAATCATACTCAAATCAATCAGGGTCACAAAATAATGATGAAATACTGACAAAAACAAACTTAAATTATATAATAAAAATCACAGTGTCTTTGTTTATTTATGTGGTTGTTCGCTATGTACGGCTGCAGTTTTGATGACAGAGAACTGATATTTAGCAAGCAGATGTTCAAGCACCCCAGAAGTGTCACGAAGGTAGAATTTTAGACGTTTAGTCTCAGTAGTGACTCCCTAACGTTGAACATTAGCAGAGTACCACTTAATATTGATGCAATTTACACCTTAAAGGTTGTACTGTGCGTTAATTTACGAAATGACTCACACCAAAGGCAGTACTCGAGTAAGGTGATCGTGCAACCAAGGATACTAAAGCCCTCTACGATAACCCTCACTAACCTGTGATGTTATTGACCATATTACTACACGCCGGCGGCGGCTGATGCTGAACATCTTAATAAAAAAGGAAAAAAAATCATGTGACCTCCTCTAGGTGAATCGTAGGTGAATCGTCGTAGGTGAATCAACATTATTTGTATGAGATTATAACGTGTTTATTCCAAACATCAAACGAGAATCTTTGTTGTGAGACCATCCATATATTCTCAGAACTCGACTGGATAAGATATGCCACCAAAATGGATATCACTCAGGCTTGGGCTGTCACCAGAGTGTTGTTTTTGTGAGTGAATAAATACTGACCTTTATACACAAAAATAGATCCTTTACGAGCTACAAGATATAACTGAAAGGCCTCTCCAGGGAAAGTTACATAAACGTATACATTATCCAAAGACAATGTTATTCAGATCCCGTGAAGCTTGTTGAGTGGCCTATATCTACCGCCGCGTCACTCTCCTGGAGGATGAGAACCAGGAGACCGTAATCAAAACAGCGTCTTATAAACGATCGTGACATAACTGTACAGCCGAGTCATTATGTAAATCAAAGGTTAAGCAGGATGTTAGGTTGTCTACTTCCATCACAAGAAACACACAAACAAATTCCTCAAGATACTGGTGTTACATCTTTCCTACATCATAAAACCCGACACTAATTAATCCTCAGCCAAGACGTAAACATTGAAGATTACTGATACGCCAAATCACTATCTAGAACATCACTGGATTAAGAAAATTACCCCGAGTGACTTTATACAACAAGCGTCATCCTGATTCTTCAACACGGGAGGTAACGTCGACTTACTGTAGATGGCAGAGACCCGACACTCAAGTACAGGCACAAAAACAACGATAACTGACTTGGACATACCTGAAGTGCGATGTGTTGTGATGTGTTATGTTAGGATCCCTCCAGAAGCTGTTAACATCCATCTACCTGGAAGATATTCAGATTAACCTTCCATCTCGCTTTACTCCGATAAAATATTTCATTATGATTAAGGAGAAAGTCACCACTTATACCACGTGATATATTGGAAGGATCTCAACGGTGTTTACTAGGTGTTGTGGGTTGAGTCAGCGTCAGCCCACAACAACAGCTTTCTCATATTTAACACATCAACCTCAGCAAATGCAACCTAACCTAACAACACTTACCTCTTGATTTTATATTCCCTCACCAACGAAGACACTTGCTTACACTTCACTGTATCAACTGTTTACACTTCACTATGACACTTGTTTACACGACAACAGCCACAACTAAACTGATCCTTGTGGTTCATGACACTGGTTCATAAAATATCTTAAACCAGGAGTCGAAGCTTCAGGGGACAGAATGAACCATTTGTATTACAATGAGAAGAGTTAGATCGTATCTCTCTCTTTGAATTTACGAGATACTGATTCGTTGATCTAGAACCCATGTGGTCCAATACGATATGGGAGGGACACACACACACACACACACACACACACACACACCGTAGTTTCAAAATCCTTAAATTACGTGCCACGTAGACAGTTTTTTTTTAATTCTTCGAAGCTCCTTATAAAGTTTTATTTAAGTCAAACTTATCAAATTTTCTCATAAAATCTACAAACATCGGAATAAGTTTCTTGCCGGGGGAAACACAGAGCTATAAGAGATAAGTCTATGAGGGCGATATTACACCTGGAAAATCATTAGAAACAAACCCTTATAGCCATGGCGAGATATACCCCAGCAAAGATTAGTTACCGACAGATCAAACATATCAGTGATGTTCCTTCATGCTTCAGCTCAAAGATACGACAAGACATCAACTTTAATAGCCAGGTCTAAGTGACGGAGGTGTGTCGTTACCTCATCATCGCCAGCAGGAATGTGACCCTGATCCTCGACACACCTATGTCTGGTTCCTACTCGTGTCTTATGGACGTCTGACAGCACACCGGGGTTATGTTGGAGTCAGTTTCATTGAGGGGTGTGGTATGGTCTGGTGTGCTGTGCTGTGGTGTGGTGTGGTGTGGTGTGGTGTGGTGTGGTGTACTGTGGTGTGGTGTGGTGTGGTGACAAGGAGGGTTGACTCGGGACATATTATAAGCACTGGGGTTATGATTGACCTTCTGATCTCTTGAGGTACTACTTCAAAATTGGAGGAGATGGAGGGGAAAATTTGCTGGGTTGAGGGAGGAAGATGAGGGTGACAGGTGGAGGACGAGAAGATGATGATGGTGGAGGATGAGACGGGTGATGGGTGGAAGAGAGAGGGATTGCTGGGTGGATTAATAGAAGGTTGACTAGTGAAGGAAGACCGGGTTTATTTGTGGAAGAGAAGAGGATAGACTTCCTGAATGGAGGAACGGAGACGGAGGGAGGACTGGAGGAGGGAGGGGATAGGGATAGATTTTGGGTAGAAAGACGGGGTAGAGAGAGGGGAGGGATTAGAGAGAGGAGGGGTTAGAGAGAGGAGGGGCTAGAGAGAGGAGGCTAGAAAGAGGAGGGGTTAGAGGTGGAGGGGTTAGAGGAGGGGTTAGAGAGAGGAGGGGTTAGAGAGAGGAGGGGTTAGAGAGAGGAGGAGGGTTAGAGAGTGGAGGGGTTAGAGAGAGGAGTTAGGGAGGGAGGGGTTAGAGAGAGGAGGGGTTAGAGAGTGGAGGGGTTAGAGAGAGAGGAGGGGTTAGAGAGAGGGAGGGGTTAGAGAGAGGAGGGGTTAGAGAGTGGAGGGGTTAGAGGAGGGGTTAGAGAGTGGAGGGTTAGAGAGAGAGTTAGAGAGAGGGGTTAGAGAGGAGGGGTTAGAGAGAGGAGGGGTTAGAGAGGGAGGGGTTAGAGAGGAGGGGTTAGAGAGTGGAGGGTTAGAGAGGAGGGGTTAGAGAGTGGAGGGTTAGAGAGGAGGGGTTAGAGAGAGGAGGGGTTAGAGGAGGGTTAGAGAGGAGGGTTAGAGAGAGGAGGGGTTAGAGAGGAGGGGCTAGAAAGAGGAGCCGTTAGAGTGGAGGGGTTAGAGAGGAGGGGTTAGAGAGGGTTAGAGAGAGGAGGGCTAGAAAGAGGAGCCGTTAGAGAGTGGAGGGTTAGAGAGGAGGGGTTAGAGAGTGGAGGGTTAGAGAGAGAGGAGGGCTAGAAAGAGGAGCGGTTAGAGAGTGGAGGGGTTAGAGAGAGGAAGGGTAAGGGAGAGAAGGGATTAGAGAGAGAAGTTGAATGGTAAGAGGAAGGGGAGAAGTATTGGACTGAAGAGGTTGGCTTTAATAACAGAGATCTGGAGGGTACGGTCATGGTGGTGAGAGAACCACCGTAGACAGAGACAGAAAAAACAACTCTTCAAAAGTGGCATCTATCAGCCTATCAGTGAGGGATGAGGGAGAAATATCAAGCACAATTGACTGGGTCGTGATGGCGCTACTCGTACGGTACGGGGCCTGAGATCTTGGTTAGTTGCTTGAGGGAAGTAAGGAGACAGACGGACAATTATTTGAATGAGGGACATACTTGCTTAGGTTACAGTACACATGTCGTGGTTATCAGAGTAATCATCAGAGGCCGCTGGCAGGTATACCTCTCGAGCCCTCAACCTGTGTCCCTCCCTCTTCACACTACAACTTACTCCTAGCTTTTATAATTACCGAGTGTTTTATTTTCTAACATAACTTGCGTGAGATAATGGTATAGTGTATTGTGTGAGGTGAGGTTAATATTTGGATCACTGTTATAACTCACGCCTCCCTGCCACGCCTCCCTACCACGCCTCCCTGCCACGCCTCCCTACCACGCCTCCCTACCACGCCTCCCTACCACGCCTCCCTACTCTCACAAGTTGTTTTTTAGTGTAGAAACTTTGTGACCAGCACATCAAGGCCTCAGCCGCTGTAGCAAGTCCATATATATGCAGACAAAAGCAGCGGATATCACATAAAAGCATTATATAATTTGCCTAAACTCATCCTCTAGTGCCCAGTCTCATACGTGCCTGCCACACTGACGTACACGGTAATGACTATAGAGCCATGAGTTCCTGCTACTACCTCGACCATGAGATGAGATTCACGAGTCATGAGAGAGAAGTTTACGTCAGATTTCCCCTTAAACGAAGATGTAAAAACTCGGTAAATTGTCTCATTTAACTTGTGACAGTCGGAGTCAACGTGACGTTAAAATAACATTGTAATTAATCCGAGAGTTGAGGCGTTCTTTTATCTTGACTAAACAAAAACAAAATAATTTACACAGCTCTGAGAATCCAGGATCAAGGCAGGAATTAACATTTTGGCGGGATATGTGTGGAATGTTTACCCAATGGAGAGCCAATCAGAGGACAAGATGCTTGGCGGGAATGGCGGGGTTCTGGAGTACTAGACGTGAGTTGTGTATCTTATATTAATGTATATCTCTTGGGCTATACAGTACACTCTACCTATATACGTGTTATGTGCCTTATCTCATGCACGTTGACGACTGATGATGCATATACTTGCCTTGTTTTGTGGTGACGTATTGCTGTAGTCTCATTACAAGCTCTAAGATACTGTACATTACAACCCTCCCCGCTGCCTGAACCAAGAATTAACCACACCAGAGCAGCAGTGAGGACAGCTGCTGGGTGATACCACGAAGGTCAGTTTATGGTGGCAGAGTAGAAGGTGTTGTGTACAGTGTGGCCATGTTGTTGGTGCTGTCCTTAATGATGTTGAGGTAATTCTTTTGTTAATGAGGTTGTTATCTAGTGGTTAATGAGGTTGTTATCCAGTGGTTAGTGAGGTTGTTATTCAGTGGTTAATGAGGTTGTTATCTAGTGGCTAATGAGGCTGTTATCTAGTGGTTTGTGAGGTTGTTATCTAGTGGTTTGTGAGGTTGTTATCTAGTGGTTTGTGAGGTTGTTATCCAGTGGTTAATGAGGTTGTTATCTAGTGGTTTGTGAGGTTGTTATCCAGTGGTTAATGAGGTTGTTATCCAGTGGTTAATGAGGTTGTTATCCAGTGGTTAGTGAGGTTGTTATCCAGTGGTTAATGAGGTTGTTATCTAGTGGTTAATGAGGTTGTTATCTAGTGGTTAATGAGGTTGTTATCCAGTGGTTAATGAGGTTGTTATCCAGTGGTTAGTGAGGTTGTTATCCAGTGGTTAATGAGGTTGTTATCTAGTGGTTAATGAGGTTGTTATCTAGTGGTTAATGAGGTTGTTATCCAGTGGTTAGTGAGGTTGTTATCCAGTGGTTAGTGAGGTTGTTGTATCTAAGGAAGGTGCTCCTCTATATACAAACAGTTCCTTATGGTTTATTTATTTATTTAACAAATCATATCAATAATTAACAAGGAAAATAACATACTATATATATATTTTTTTTTTTATATAATTTTCCAGTTTCTAACAATAATTATTAACTTGTATGGCATAAAAGTTGGTTCTATAAGAGTTATGACCAATTTTATGAATATCTACTCGGTAATGACCAATTCAACTGGACTGTAATACACATACCGGTTATATAAGAATAATTGTAGTCACTGGTTCTGCTGAGAGACGGTCGTGTTGACAGTGTGACGGCCGTGTGGTGACTGACTGTCTATCCGTTTCCCATCATCCATGAGTAAACACCAAAAACAAAATAACATCGGTGTACAACAATAACCGATTTAACTTATGAATTCCTTTACCATAACTAACTAATTCCACCATTATTTATACAACAACAAATTTAGACTTGGGGCTCCTACTCAAGTGTCAGGTGAAGAGTAAACGAACCAACGACCATTGAGTCAGACGGCGAGCATTGTACCACTCAGCCATCGTCCCTAGATGACCTATATACAATAATTGTTGAATAAGAAGAAATGCCGAGGACATAAATAATTATCAGGTGAAAATAACAACAATAATAAAACGTGCTTAAGAGTTTCCATTAAGTTTTCTCATGCTTTATCCTGTCCTAAATATCTACAACATAACCCCAAAATAAATAACACACAAACACCATATTTACCCTTGATCAAAAAGACGAAAAAAGTCAATGAATGTTATTAAATCAACTTATGCTTCTAACTTCTACAGATACTTAAGGATTCTTCCCGAACAGACATTCCGACAAAGGCCTTTCCATGATCTGTCAGGAATATATTTAAAAACAAACACTAGTTGTCACACTATACCACAATGTGTACTTATGTAGGATTATAATTCAGGTGATTTTTTTTATCCTCTGTAAACGAATAAGTACAGTTGTTTGCATTTATATCTGGTACACTGGCTGCTGTGCGTTGTGAGATGTGGCAGGTCTGTGTTTGTTTACATCGTATTAAAACTCCTGGAATGGCCCAGACTAAAGATGTTAGATACTGTAGATATTTCAGAGAGGTGCCACATCTTTCAAAACGCGCCAGTTACTGTACCAGGTGTAAGTGGAAGCTACTGACTGTACATGTTGTTATACTAGTGGTGTGGCTTCTCAGAGGAGGGCGATGTTGAGGAAGGATGAATCTTGGATGATGCGGGTGAAGAGGTCAGGGAAGTCCGCCCCACACAAGGTGCTCTCAGCGTTGATGCCCACCACGTAGTATGACCCACGACGATCTCTCCTGACCAGTGGCACCCCAGAGCTGAACTGTGAACACATATGGTATATAATACAGTATATGTCTTCCTCTTACCCATCAGACAGACACCTGTGTGTGTGTGTGTGTGTGTGTGTGTGTGTGTGTGTGTGTGTGTGTGTGTGTGTGTGTGTGTGTGTGTGTGTGTGTGTGTGTGTGTGTGTGTGTGTGTGTGTGTGTGTTTCTATTTACAAACGGCCTAAGAAGTGATTGTTTTTATATTTTTATCAATGTTCTACAGGAAGTACCACGTGGTCTTACTTATTCATATCTGACATTAATACTCCTTACCATACTATGACATTATTATTGTTATGTCTAATTCGCCTGTGTCAGAAATTAGGACAAGACCTCAACCATAAAAGAGCTAAGAAAAAGACCTATCAAAGGAGGAGATCTGACGAGGCTTAAGAGTTGTCATCATGGACTGGCTGCTGTAACCCGGAGACAACAGCTGCCAGCCAACCTTCCACCAGCCCGGGGGAGAGGTGTCGGGGGAAGATAATGTGTGTGTGTGTGTGTGTCTCCTTTAGGCTGTGTCCTTCGTGTTACATTATGAACTAAGTACACACACAAACACACACTTGCCAAACACACACACACACACACACACACAGGCACACACACTTGCCAAGCACACATACACACATACACGCTCACCTATAGACACACTTGCTCCCCATACGTACTTACAGACACACCTTTCATACACACACACACACACACACACTTACCAGACACACAGGATACGTATATTCAAGTTTGGTTGCACACATGAAGTTCCTCTCGTCAAACTTGCTCCTGAGGTAGTCGCTGGGGAAGGGTAGGGTAGCGAGGGCCTCCCAACACTCAATGTCACTCAGCACCTCTACATCAGCCACCATAAGGGAGGACTGGTGACTGTTGCCGTAGTCACTAGGCTCACTGCTCCACCCTGACACCACGCCATCTTGCCTCGGGAAGGAGTTATCTGAGGAGCAATGACAGACGTCCAGAATTATATCTTGATACATATATATGATCGATGGAACCTAACCTAACCTAACCCAACCGAACCTAACCATCAAAATACAGGTAACAAGGCAACAGAAGGTCCCACTCACAATGCACAGGTAGACAAATAGGTCGGATATTTATAGTGTAGTGGACAGGGGTGGCGAGGGTCAGCACGGCCAGATTATGACTCGAAGATTTGTGGTCAAAGGTGAGAGGGAAGGTGACTTTAGAGACGTCAATGGGTAGGTGGACTGTCTCATCCTCTCTGTTGTAGTCATGATCACCCACCAGCACCCTTAGACCTGCCACCCTTACCGACACATCTCTGGAATAAACAACAAAGGAATAAATAAAGAAAGGGAGATAGAAACATACAAGAAAGATGGTAAGTAATGATGTAGTGGTCCTAACAAGGAGCATCACCCCCCCAGGTTATGCCAGGAACAATATGTGTCAAAACTATACAAAAAAACAATAATGTTTTGTCAAGAACTTATTGATTTCTGTGTTCAAATTATATCTTGTTAGTTACACAAAATAAACATGAGATACCGATCAGGAAAGCAAGCAACACTACAAGCAAACAAATAAATGAAAAAACAAACCCTCCAATCACACACACAAGACGTACCACTGTACCAAACTGTACCAACTGTACCTGTAAGGATCTATAAAACAGGTAGCTGATGTAAGGACGTGACTGCGGTCCACCAACACCCCGGTACAGGGCTTCAACTCCTTCTGTTCCTCCTCTTTCATGTACATCATTGGGTTGGGTGTCACCTTCCTCCTCTCGATCACCACCTGTGTAAGATCAACTCCCATGTGTAGTCATCGAGAAGCTGTGAGACTAATACACTCTCCTTGGCGTCCACGAGTATGTACACTCACACTAAAACCTTCTCCTACACCTGGGCACGATGGATGTGAGAATGAGCTGAATGGGGCTTGTCATCTGGGAATGGTTTCAAGATTTGTTCATTTTTCAGATTACATATTGATTGTAGCGTTCGACAAGTGTTTGGTAAGTGTACAATAACTCTGGTCACAAACTGAACCTTCATCACTCAGAAAAATAAAATATCACTCTTCCTACACTTTACACGCATACAAAAAACAAGAAGAAAAATTACAATAACTCGAAAACATATCAATTTAAGATAACAAGCTTAAGATAACATACGAGAGTGACATAGTATTAAATAATGCATAAAACATTAGAGATCACAATGGCTTACAATGAACAACTCACCATCCAAGGCCACTCTCCTATGTCTGGTTCCATGCCCTGTAGTCGGTGCTGTTGTCGCCCCGCCGAGGACACCCTCACCAGCCCTGTCTCAATGCCCGAAGCTAGTGCTGAAGGGAACACGAGAGGGAGAGGTCTTAGTGTTATACATTGAGCGGGTCTTGTCAGGGGGTCTTCTTCAACATGATATTGTATTTTATTAAGGGGAGGGTATTGTGTGTGGGGGGTAGTGGGTTTTGTGGGTGTGTGGGAGGGGTTGTGTGTGTGTGGGAGCAGGTGTATGTGTGTAAGTGTGTGTGTCTTTAATACTCACACTGAGAAAGAATGTCGCTTTTATTTCTTAACTTCTTGACGACGGACCTCCTACGCGCAATATCTAACTTATTCGGTCTCTTGCGGCCTCTGGGTTCACGGTGTTGGCCAGCGTGGACAGATATACTCCTAGCCAATAGTGTCTCGTTTTGGTCAGCTGCAAACGCTAAATGGGGAAAATCATTAAAACAAATAATAATAAAATGAAACATTAAAAATATAACTTTAATAGGTTAAATCTGAGTGTTTTTGCCAATTGGGGTTAAATAATTCACCTAAAAGCAATAATTTAACTGCACTTATCTTCTTGGTAATGGTACAGTATCGTCATTTGTGCTTTATGTGACTTGTTTTATGAATCAAATATATTATAATATTATTAATAGTAACAGAAACTTCAATGCCATTAGGAGGACTCGTCTCGGGAGGAAGGGGTGAAGGGGGAGGAGGAAAAGGCAGCAGAAGGAAGAGGGAGGAGGAAGAGAGAAGAGGAAAAGAAGAAGGCAGAGGAGGAGAAGAAGCACAAGCGTAAATACAGGAAATAGCCTAAACTAAGAACTAACTAAACTGTGTAGGCGACAACTAACCTTTGACTGAGGCAAAACGGTGGTCGTAGCTGAGGTCAGAGTGGGTGGTGGTGGTGGGGGGGTTGGTCATGTCGTTCTTGATGCCACAGATACTGGGAGCTGCCGAGGTGATTGTGGTTAGTGTACATGACCAGGAGAGAGAGAGAGAGAGAGAGAGAGAGAGAGAGAGAGAGAGAGAGCACAAGAAACCAGAGACAAGGAAGGAAATCCGTATGAAGGACTGGCTTCTCTCTTTCTCTCCTCTTTCATCTTTGTCTCATTATTTTCATTCCCTCTCTTTCTCTACTACACGTGTCTCTCTCTTTTCTTCCTTCCTTCTCCCACGTATTTTAATCTCTGTGTCTCTCCCTCTGTTTACTTACACTTATACGGCTTGACGTCATCACAAGAGACGGTAGTGATAGTGAGACGGAACTTGAATTCACGTTTTGGGTCCAGCTCCAGCAGGAGAACCAGAGGCATCTTCTTACCCGGGGACACCACCTCCAGGATACCTGTAGAAGGAACATTACGCTTTAGTGGGTAAGACAGAAGTAATGGTGGTGTAGTCTGTCGGTACGTGATTCAACTCCTCGTTAACGAAGAAATACTTGATTTAAAACCAGCGTTAGTCAGTACCAGTAATACAGCCATAATAACCTAACCAAACCTAACCAAACCAAATCTAACCTAAACTAACCTAACCTAACCTAACCTTCATAGCCCGTGAGGTCAGTACACAAGACGGGTGAGACGCAGTGATCATAAGACATCTTGAAGGAGGGACTGTTGTGGGCACAGCCGTGGTGACCATACGAGGTGTCGGAGGTGCTGTTGAACGTCAGGTCGTCAAAGTTAATCCTGAAGGTGAGAGAGATGAGTCAGAACGCGAGGTTTTAGAGGAAGGTTTACAGATGAACGGACCATTAAAGTCAACCATTAAAGTCCGTTCATGCGTTTATCCTCCTGAACCTCGAACTCACCCATTCAGACTCGTGAACCCAAAGCAGTAGGCTGATACATTTTTCTGTCCATAAATGCTTCAGGTTCATGAGTTCTGAATCTCTCGGGGGTTCGGGGTTCAGGAGGAAAGACGAACGGGGGACTTCAGTAGTTGACTGTACGTGTTATATAAGGGGAAATAAAATCACTTTCCTGTAAAAGTAATCTCTTGTTTATCAATGTTCCACTTGAGGTCACAAAGGTTTCTACTGGAGAGTGAGTTATTAGGGCACCTACCTGAGGGCACAAGTATCCTGCTGGGGGTTGAGGGTGAGGGTACAGAGGCCAGGCAGGTAACCTTCACCCTGGGGGTAGTGGGTGTTCTGCCAGACCGTCACTCTGGCAACTGACTCCTCCCCACACGTCACTTCCGTCCTTGTGTCTGTCGGCAGCCACACCACCTCTGTTATACCTCTTTGTATGTATGTATGTATGTATGTATGTATGTATGTATGTATGTATGTACTATCACACTTATATTAAACATAAGAACATTCTTGAGTGACACAAATATTGCTTTACTACTCAGAAGTAAACACCGCCAATAGTCTCAGTACTCACCTGTTCTGGGCTCTGGGCCGAAGTTCATGTGGGCGGTCAGTAAAGCTGAAATATAGCCATAGTGTTTATATTACCTTGGACGCCTCTGTAAGCCTCTCGATCAACACATGCAGATGAGTGTGTTATGTGTTACAGGTAAGTTAATTTGTGTAGATTTTTTTTTTGTTAGCTTTTGGACGTCTATCTACAAAGTTTAAGGGACTTTTTAGCTTGGCATAGTTTTTTTAGCTGATATATCAGGTATATAGCACTAATATGGCAGATGTATAGCAATCGTATAGCACTAATATAACAAGTGTATAGGAGGTGAATAGCAGATGTACCAAAGGTGTGTGACAAGGTACTTACGTTTCATCTGTGCCTGGAGATTGGACAACAAGGAGGGAGGCCTGAGGAAAAATCTCTCAGCCTCCCCCTCCGCTGCCACCCACACCCCGCCAGCCGCCCATGTCACCGCCATTATAGCTGCCACAGCCGCCATTATCCTCCTATAGTTAACACAACACCCGCAGAGTTAATAGATGCACAATAAACTAGCCATTATCTGAGGCAAAATTAGACTTGTTTCCTGTCAGCAATGTCTCCTAAATTAAGTTTTCGGGTTTAATAGGTTAAATAAAGGAAATTGACGTAAGGTTATTTTTGGGGATAATTATTAAAAGATTTTCTTTTGCACTTACCTGGCAGACATGTTGGCTATGGGGTATGTTGCTGCTGACTATCTTTCAACTTACACTTGACCCAACATTATATACTTGGGGTAAGCTGCCACATACCGCAATCTGAGCTGATAAAAGGATAAAATTTCGCATCTAAGTTGACATCCTTTTGAGAAATGATCTAAATATTTACACTAAACTCTAGTGTATTATCACATCCAGTTGATTTAATCGACTATGGTCTATATATAACCAGTAAAAACAAATCACAATGAAAAACCACAGTCAGACGCAGGAAATAGTTAAAAACTCACTTCAAGCCAAATTTCACTGCAACAGACGCGTTCGCTTTCTCCCTCCAACACCGCAAGACGGTAGAGGTATTGTTAGCCACTCGGAGCCTGCAGCTGGCGTCCTCACACTGTTATATGAAGTGGGAATGCGATTATATGTCTCAGTTGACGTTCTTTTGTTTTTCACATATTGACAGTCTGGGGACGGGAGTCTGCCGAGAGGGGGTTTGGATGCTAAAAGAAGTGTGTGTATATCTCTCTCTCTTTTTATCTCTCTCTCTCTCTCTCTCTCTCTCTCTCTCTCTCTCTCTCTCTCTCTCTCTCTCTTTTTTTATCTCTCCCACTCTCTCTCTCTCATCACTCACAAATAGGACACCTTTCCTCCCTCCCCCTTCCTCCCACCCCTTTCCCTCCCGCCACCAACTTTCCCTCTAATTTTCACTCTGGTGTTGTACTTATATGCATCAGCCACAAAGTCGTGTTGTAGTATATTTTGGAGCAGGTATGATCACCACTTACCTGAAGATAATATCACCTTCAGAACACACCTCTAACTTAACGTCAATATGGCTTTCTTTTCCTCGTTTTTCTTCGTTATTCCTCATTGTCTTTGTATTTTCTTTGTTTTTCTTCGTCTTAAATGTTCCTTTACATCTACCTACAAACATTCAGTCTTCTTTACGATATTAATTCTAGCTTTATGTACAGTTAACTACTAAAGTCAGTTCACCTCTCAACCACGAACCCTCGAGAGATTGAGACTCGTGAACCCAAAGCAGTAAGCTTATACATTATTCTGTCCATAAAGGCTTCGGATTCATTAGATTAATACTCTCAGGAGGTTCGTGATTCAGGGGGAGAGGCGAATGGACTTTAGTAGCCAACAGTACCTCGGGAAATATATGTGAAATCACCAGATCGTAGAGAAATTACCCTGGTAGTGTAAGGCGTCGCCCCCATCCGGCATTACAGTGGATTAGATGATTTCGCGCAATTTCCGACGCGTACAAGAGTGGAGTGTCACGGTCAGCCACCAGCCCAGAGTTACGCCTCCGCCATTACGTCTTCTGCGGCGTTTTTTGGGGTAATTTTAAGTTTTTACTCATTGATCACAAAACTTTACTCGACTAAAGGCGAAGATTCATGTAACTTTGTAATTCGTTAGGGGATTTTTTTTTCTAGAATGATTAATGATTAGGGAGTCACCTGAAGATTAGTCACCTATCAGGGGGAGGAGGGGTTAGGTTAGGTTAATTTAGTCTGGATTAGGATAGTTCAGGGTCACATATCTCTCACCAACACACTCCCTCCTCTCACCAACACACTCCCTCCTCTCACCAACACACTCACACCTCACCAACACACTCTCTCCTCTCACCAACACACTCCCTCCTCTCACCAACACACTCACACCTCACCAACACACTCCCTCCTCTTACCAACACACTCACACCTCACCAACACACTCACACCTCACCAACACACTCCCTCCTCTTACCAACACACTCACACCTCACCAACACACTCACACCTCACCAACACACTTCCTCTCTCAAATCTTTACTATACGTTCCTGTTATCATCGTGAACGTGTTGTGTAGTACAGGTAATCATCAACTTCGTCAGGTGATCAGTACACCTCACGTTCATTTACCTGTCTACCTGTAGTTCCTTGGTCCGGGTCCCATTCTCGTTACCTTTCCTCAAATCACTTCCCCAGGGCCTGTGGTCCTTCCGCCACTCACAACACTTTCCCTCTAGACACACACCTGTCATTAGTCTATTACCTGATAAACATTACTGACTTTCCCACCTGTTAACCTCAACCACCTGAAGTTTATTCACCCTAACGCTAACCTAACCTAACCTAACCTAACCTAACCTAACACAGAAATAGATAAAATTCCTGAAATTGTTCTATACACACACACACACACACACACACACACACACACACACACATCCTTGACCACCGAAGGGTCAAGACGTACCTGGCGCTCCTCTCCGAGCAGCCGGGTCAACTGTTAAGTTGGCCCATACCAACCCCCTCCCCTGAACCCTCCTCCCCACCGGAATATCAACAAGTTCACGCCAGAAGTTACAATTTCATTTAGGAAAGGAATGGAACCAGTGTTGAGCGGAGGTGAACAGTGGTGAACAGTGCTTGAGTCAGTGGGAACAGCTCAACAGTGACAGTGGTACCCAGGTTGACCTTCACACAGTGAGGTCCCAGGTACCCAGTGATAACGGCCCGACCCAACCACCAGCGATGTGTTAATCAGTCTACGATAGGAAGGCCTGGGACCACACCTCACTCATAGAACACCGTCTGTGAGGGAACTACTACACCACGTGAGGTCCCTCATAACACCATCTGTGAGGGAATTACTGCACCACGTGAGGCCCCTCATAACACCATCTGTGAGGGTATTACTACACCACGTGAGGCCCCTCATAACACCATCTGTGAGGGAATTACTACACCACGTGGGGCCCCTCTTAACACCATCTGTGAGGGAATTACTACACCACGTGAGGCCCCTCATAACACCATCTGTGAGGGAATTACTGCACCACGTGAGGCCCCGCATAACACCATCTGTGAGGGAATTGCTACACCACGTGGGGCCCCTCATAACACCATCTGTGAGGGAATTGCTACACCACGTGGGGCCCCTCATAACACCATCTGTGAGGGAGCTGCTACACCACGTGGGGTCCCTCCTAACACCATCTGGGAGGGAGTTACTGCACTGCGTGTTTGCTGTTCAACACCTACATTAATCTGTATGTTCACTGTATGTTCCTTTACCTTTCTCTAATGAAGGCTTTTGTTAAACCACCAATGTATGTAATAAGTCATTTATGCCCAATGTATATTTTCAGCCTTCGGGCTGCAGAACTTTTTCAATAAACCGTTAATTATTATTATTATTATTATTACACACACACACACGAGTTTATGTTTGGCGGACTTATTCTCGTTTCGCTTCCAATTTCCGATTGTTTTTTTCTCTTAAATTATTGAAAGATATGACTACTACATGGTGTTGGGTGGGTGGTTCTGAGAGAGAGAGAGAGAGAGATCGTCGGAAACAAAAGAGTGAGAGACAAATAGAAAGACAAAAACATAGCAAGAGACAAAGACGAACATAGAAAGTTATGTTCTGAGTTTCGCCACAGCATTAATTTAAACTCCACCTTCCTCCTCTTATCATCGCCTGCTCCTTACCCATGCGTCTCTATAAATCATTAACAGTGGACGAGGAAATATAAGAGACATTTCCTCATATTTTCACCTTTGTAGTCGACACCTGTGACCCATGAATTGACGCAATTGGAGAAATCTTTTCAGAGTAGCTCAAACAACGACAACTCATATCACGTCAGTTCTGAGTCCCCAAGGTGTAAAAAAGTAAAAAAAAAATGCTCATCCACGAATATTGCTACTCTCTCTCTCTCTCTCAGCATATAATAGAGATAGAGAGAGATAGTACGTGACTTTATAACTCTCCTCATTCCGTTATTCTCAGTCATATCATCGCAATACTGTATACATAAGTCTACCCTTCACGTTATCTTTCTACCTCTACCGTTTTCTTTGACAACTATTCTGTTCGTGGTAATGGCGGGATGATATACCAGCTAGTTACGTTGAAAACAGACGCTATTTTGTTATTGAAGTTGAGAAAGAGAAACAGGAAGATAAGAGAGAGTAAAATATAGACTGACAACCAGTTAGACAGATGGACAGATGAGAAACTACATTAATTAGATATGAAAAACGGGGAGACGAGGAACGAGAGATAAATAAGAATGGAGAGTAAGATAGAGACAGACAGACTTAAACGGAAGGAAACAGTAAAATCAAACACATTTTACTGGCAAATATGTTAAGGTGCCTCGACAGGAGCTCGTGTGACCCAGATCTACTGACGGCGGGTGTTGTGCCTCACCTCACACCTGTCTGCACCTTCAAGTGGCCCACCCCCCCCCCCAGGCCTCACTCTTCCCGACACGTATTGTATTGAGCTGGATGTGTGTGTGTGTGTGTGTGTGTGTCATGGCGATGTTTACTTTTCATTCCTTTTCGATGAAGAATTTCTTATTGGATGTCATATTCAGAAAGTGTCGTGGTACCTAAAATCCACCTACTGGATTTGCGTACAATGAAACCTCAATATAACGGATTTCTCTCTCCATATAATCCTTTAGACGGACCCTCGATATAAAGGACTTTCATATATCTACAGTTCATTAGATGGAGGTTTCACATCTAACTACCCTCGATATAACGGACATTCCTCTCCATATAGGCCGTTAAATAGAGGTTTCACTGTGTGTAGATGTCGTCGGTAACTTTTTATGTTGTTGTAATGAAGAGTTATGAGGTTGTTATCTTGTTTAAGTCAAGAGATGAGAATGTCAAGGTGACTTAGATTCTTAAGTCGAGAATTTTATACCTTATGTACGGGGTCCCCTTCTAAGCTGAATAAAATCATCTTACATTAGCTAAATAAACGTTAAAAATGGCCTCCCTGTAGTGAAGAGGTTAAGAGGCCTCCCTGTAGTGAAGAGGTTAAGAGGCCTCCCTATAGTGAAGATACTAAGAGGCCTCCCTGTAGTGAAGAGGTTAAGAGGCCTCCCTGTAGTGAAGAGGTTAAGAGGCCTCCCTATAGTGAAGAGACTAAGTGGCCTCCCTGTAGTGAAGAGGTTAAGAGGCCTCCCTGTAGTGAAGAGGTTAAGAGGCCTCCCTATAGTGAAGAGGTTGAGAGGCCTCGCTGTAGTGAAGAGGTTACGAGGAAATA